ATTATCTCTTCTCCAACATGATGCTCTACAGAAGTGAGAAATGACCAACTTTTGTCATTCAGAGCCAGCACAGCAATGCAGTTAAATTATAGACCCTCTGGGTGGGCTATGGGATCCTAGCCTGGGGAAGGCTGGTCTATGGGAAGAGAAATACGTGCTGAATGTGGGTTACAGGTGATGTGCAACCTATCCCATTAACACTGAGACTTTTTCTTCTGACGTGAAAACACCCAAACCTGGGTATTTTCTTAACCAGAAAAGAATAGACATAGTAACAATTCTCACTGCTAACTTTTCCAAGGTTCAAAGTCACATACAGTATATGGGTTAATCATTTTTAAAATCCAAATTTTGTTTCTTAGGTCTGCCATTCATTTTCTCTGAACTCCGTCAGCAATCTGAAGAAATCCTGGCTAGCTTCCAGTGTTGTTGAAAATTGCCATAATAAATCCAAGCACTTTAAATACTTGACATATTTTATCTAAACCTTAAAATGTATGTCGGGGTTATTCACTGTCCTTTCCCTTGCATTGTAACTTCCTTTCAAGAAAGTGTTTTTTTAAGGCAGTACAGTGTGCTTAGCCCAATCCAAGCAAACTGGCTGAGAATAATGGGAACTATAATCCAATGTGTTTTAAAGAAGATCAGGTTGGCTTAGCTGATGAATAGTTCATTCATCTTTCATTTATGAAAATGAAATGATTCATTCACAAAATAAATTAATGCATTCCTTAAGCTGTAGCAGTGTGCCTGGCTCTACCTACAAAACTACTCAGCATTAGTCTGAATTCAATCCAGAGTTATCAGGATTTTAATAAATTTCCTGTGTGTTTGTTTGTTGCTTGCCTGGTATTGCAGAAAGAAAGAGTCATTAAGTTTCTGTTGCAACATACATTTTACCAATCACAAGCTTTGCCAGCTAAAATGGAGCTTATTTTACATAATGGATAAGCTCTAGCTTGCATTAAAAATTTGTTCAAATTATTTCATCATGTGAGCAGTTTATCATGAGAGACTTATAGGTCTTGGGAGCAGGAAACTCTCCAATCATCACAGAGACTGCTCATAAGAATAGTTTTTAAAGTCCTGGTGTAAACTGGCTACTCATAAAATTGGATTATTTGCATAAATAAGACTGAATCAATGTGTGAATTAACTCTCTCTTGCTTGCTTGGAAATTGGCAGAAAACCAGCCTCTGAAGAACTTTGTTGATCTAATTCAACTCTGGATCAAGAATCTGAATGTAAACAATGTGTTTTTTCTTCTATCCAGAAGCTCTTTCTTATGAAAAGGCACTGACCCAATTTCTCCCTACATTTCACCAAAGGCTTTGTCTCTTACCTGGCACTTGCGGCCATCTACTGGCCCCAGATCCTCTTCAAACTCAACCCCAAGGTCAAAGTCCATGACATAGTTTCTCAGAGAAGTTAAGGTGCGAATAGTCATATGGTCATCCGTGTGGATGATCTCCTTGTCTGGCTTCAGGAGACAAACCAGCTTCCTCAGGGCCACATTGATATCTAACCAGGAGATTACAAGGACTAAAGTTAAATAAATGTTGAAGGGTAGTGTCTACGTACCCCAAAGGCAATCAGAATACTGTAAGTAACAATGCATGGAAACCACATCCTTGCTACCCATTTCCCCCCCCCCCCCCCCACCCTATGCATTATCTCAGTTCTTCCTCATTTGGGACAAGTAATAAAGGAAGATGAAAACAAGAATCTCATTTTAATTCATACCTTCCCTCCCTCCCTCCAACAATCCAAGGCAGCAAACATAGTAAAAAACACACACATCTAAATCAAAGACCCTTCTTTTAACCCAATTGTTTAAACAGCCTTGTCTTTTCTCACCAAGCTGCCCTAAAAAAACAGAGCAGTGACTAAACCCCTGAGCTACAAATCAGGAAATCCCCATTTAAATCTCACTTCTGCCAGGAATTAATTGGAGGCCTCCAAGCAGATTTCTCTCCCCGCCTATAATACAGCAGTAAGGTTGCATTGGAAAGTGCTGTGGTCCTTTAGAGCAGGGGTCTCCAACCTTGGCAACTTTAAGCCTGGAGGACTTCAACTCCCAGAATTCCCCAGCCAGCTTTGCTGGGAGTTGAAGTCCTCCAGGCTTAAAGTTGCCAAGGTTGGAGACCCCTGCTTTGGAGTCACAATGAGCTGTGGGTTCATAATATAAATTGATATTGATATTAATTGTTGGGAAGGGCAAGGTTTCCATGAATCAAGCATTGCTCCTGGTGATGGTGTAGACTCATCCCAGTAGTTTTCATGATAAGGTGGAAGTGGTTTGCCAAGGTCAGCTCTGCTCCTCCCTGGTGCTTTGCCATCCAACTTCTGGCCAGGAGCATCTCGGCTTAGCCCTTCTGAAATCGGGCAAGGTGGATTAGATTGGGGCCATCAAGAAAAGTCCTAGAAAGAGGAGATTATCCTAACCTTTTAGGAGTAAAGAAAGATACTGGAATTTAACTCTGCCCAGATTACGGCCATCCGAGGGTTGGCGGTTCCCCTGAAACCAGGTGGAGCCGCGAGAAAGCGCTCTGGGCGCCACCCAGTCCCGCCAGCCTTCATCACCAACATCGCAAAACTAATCGGGAGCAATTGGGCGGCCGGAAAATGGCGGGAAAACAAAACCGAGAGAGAGAGAGAGAGAGAGAGAAAGGTTCGCTTACCCAAGGCGCGGAGATAATTCTCCATATTGTCCTGAGACACGAAGCGGTAGTAGCCGCTGAGATTGGGAGGCATCGCAGCGCAAGAGGACGACGAAGGCACAGGACGAAGAAAATGGGCAGCGGGAGAAAGGCTCACAGAAAGGAAGGAGGGAGGGAGGGAGAGAAAGAAGGAAGGAAAGACGGGGAGAAGAGAGGCGGCGGCAGCTGAAACAGCAGAAAACAGCCCGCACCCGGAGCGCTGCTGGGTCCGCCGCCTCGACTTGGACTTCTTTCCCAGCCCTCCCTCGGCCTTTTATGTAGTGCCGAGTCCCGCCGCCCTAAGAGTCACTCCGCTCCAGCCCGCGCGGGCGGGGGAAGCCGCGCCAGAACCCTTTTCTTCTCTGCTATTCTCCTTTTCTCCTCTTTATATCACACAAAACCACGAGGCAGGTAAAAACAACAACAGAAACACGGCGACCTTTGCAAACCTCCAATCGCTCCCCTCTCTTTATCCAAGTGCAAGTTAATCAGGCTCCGTGCCTGGTTCCTAAGTGGATAGGAGACCACTTGTAAATCCCAAAGTTTACGGGAGAAGGGTACGTTGAACGGCAACCCGGTCAAGGCAACAACTGTTTCGGTTGTCTTCCTAAGAAAGCTGAGTTGGCCTTTCCTTGAAATCACCAGGAGCTGAGCTCGACTGGAAGACTATTCTAGCAGGCAGACATTTCTAACTATTTCAATAGTCCCCTGTAGAGTGCCCGCAGTTACTCCTGTTGCCTTCTGCACACTTCCTCTTTCCAAATAATCGTCTGCCTTGACGCTCCTGCTGTTGGGCAACCCTGACAGTGCAGTTACCAATAGTGCTATATGTGATCCCAGCCAATTCAATAATTTCTGACTTGAGTCTACATCTGCACATTGTGAAGACGCGGCCATAGAGTTTAATGACAGTTTAATGACAGGCATGAGATGAGGAGAAGCGGCTGCTCACTTGGGATGCCCCCCGTCCAGCCTTGGCCACCTGTAAACATCAAAATGGCTTCCCAGTTTTCTAGGCGAGTCTGTCCTCAAAAACTCCGCAAACCTTCGTGGCTAACTTCTAGACGGATGGTGAGAGAAGTTGTTCTCAAGAGGGGAAAAGCACTCTTCCCAGACCGGGAGTAGAAACCAGAACATTTCTTCGTCGTTTTTGGAAAGAATTCTGAGTTCCCTGTCTCACGTTTATACATTGTCTTTTTAACATCATTATAAGGCATCGCATGCATTTATATGGTAACCCCCGAATACACCCTAGGAAAGGTATTTCTGTGCGGGAGTGAAAGCAAAAAAGAGACTGACTCAACTCTGTGTATTGAATTCACAACCAAGAGCAAACTATTCTGCTCGCGGTCAAATCACAGCTACTTTAGGTTGCCCAAGAAAACAGGCCCCCCCTCCCACCAAGCAAACTCAGCACCTTCTTCAGGCTGATTTACACATGCAAATGGCACATCCGTTGGTGTATTTGTGTGTGAATGAATCGCAGGGGTGCAACTTACCGCAGACAATAGTTCTGTGAATTACTCACAGCCAAATCTCAATAACCCTTCCAGTCATCCCGGCTTATAAATGCCTGAGGGAAATTACTCTTTGCCTTTGAGTGACTGGCTCGTCTCCAAAGCCAACTGAAATCTGGCTGATACGCACATCTGGTTTATCAGTTGAAGGGAACGTACTAGGTTGCAAATGGGAATCTGTGTGAGAAGGATCATCACAGGCAGGAGGGTTTATTTCACGGGGGGTGGGCTGTTAGTTACCCTTTCATCTGCCAACACCGCACGGCTGGGAACATTCACGCGCGAACCAACATTTGTTCCGCACTCCCCACCATAGCAAGATCGCTGCAGACACCTAGAGGTCTGACTGCGAACTTTCTCACGCCGCTCTCAGATCCTAAAGCAGAGAGATGCTTCCTTCTGTGGCCAGCCCAATCTAGAGTAGATCGCCGGGCGGGGGTGGGGGCGAGGGAGGGAGCGAGACCTTCCTTCCAGCAGCGTCCTTTGGATTTCAACTTGCGGTGCACGAACTGGGCGTGCGTTTCTTTCCCCTGACTCCCCCGACCTCCCCGCTAGCAAATCAGACGGAAAACGGGGTTGGGAAAGCGGAGGGGGAAAAAAAAAAAGACCCTTCATTGCCAACTGCAAGTCCCTCTAAAGTTCCTAGTCTATTTGCCTGCACGCGACAAGGCGCTCGCGTGCACACACGTGCCCGCGCTCACCCACCCCCCACCTCCCTTCTGGCCTTCCCACGCCCTCCCTACCCCTAAGTCTTGGTCCCCTCCCCCTCCTGCAGCACCTGGCTGGGGCGCCCCTCGTATTGGCTGCGAGGGCCCATCAATCAGCGTCGGGCGCTGCTGACATCATGCTGCAGTACAGGGGCTGGGCCGGACCGGAGAAAGGAGGCGTCCGGGAGCTCCAGTTGGCGCCCCGTCCCGGGCAGTGCCTCGACAGCCGACCCCTGGGTCTGGGTGGGAGCAGATCGTAGCGACAGCCGCCAAGGCACTCTCCTTCGGCGAACGAGCCCAAGCCACCAAGCCTATCCCGGACAGCGAGCGGTATTTTCAAGGCTTTTCTAAAATGGGCTGGGGGATGCCCCTCGCCTCCGCCCCTCGCCTCCTCCTCCTCCTCCTCCTCCTTGTCTCCTGCGCCCTCGGCAACAAAGGTGAGCCAGTCGAGGCGCCCGGACTCCCCAAGGAGAGGGCTGGGCTGGGCTGGGTGGGTGTGTGGCTGGGAAGCTCTTTGAGCGCCCTCCGTGCCTCTCCCATCTGGCCAAAGCTGGAGCGCAGCTCTTCTGCCTGCCTGCCTGCTTTCTAACCCATCCCATCCATTCCCCGGGAATGCTGAGAGCGGGTGGAGAAATAGGGCTTGGCGCTAACCGTGGGGCTGCCCGCCGCTTCTCTGCTTTTGCTCTTTTGCTCCTCTGGATCTTCTCACTTGCTTCCTTCTGTAGCATCAGAGCCCTCCCCTCACCGCTTGTTCCTTGCTTTGCTTCCTTGGATTGCACACCAACCCTACCTCTACATCTCCTGTTTATCTCTCCCCTACGTTCATTTTCTGCCTGGCGTTTATCACACGCCCAGCAATTCCCAGGGCTCCTTCTGTATCCTAGTCTCTTAGGATCAAAACGTGATGGAGCTGCTTTGCTACCCACTCTCTGTTTCTAGGCTTAGTTGCCATCTTCTCTTCCTTGCAGCCTTAGGGTCTTAGTGGGTTTTGCCAGTCCGTGTAGTTCATTATTGCAAAATCTACGAATTTCAAGCAAAGGAGACGGAAACCATTGTGTTTATAGCTTCGGTATTCTGAACACGAACACAGGACATATATCTGTGTGCCTGATAATGAGAGAGATGGCTAGGTTGACCCGGGCTTACAGGTCTTAATGCAAGAACAAGAGTTCTTGGGGAAATAGAGTAATATTGGATGGAAACTAAAGGAAGGGGCTGAAGGTCCTGCATATTTTGGGGAGGTTGAGTCATCGTTCAGCACCAGCCCGCAGCAAAGGAAGGAGACAGGAGTGTGAAAAAGGCATTTGATTTCTATTACCATCGCTTTCTTCCTTAAAAAAAATTGGCATCGGAGAGGGGGAGGGCAATGCAGCAGCATTAGGATTCAGTGCGCTTGTTGGTTCTGCAGATGGAGTGGAACCCTCTCTCCCTGATTCTAAATGCACGTAACCACTGAGGTTGACTTGGCCTTGTGATCCTCGTTAAAGTCTCCCTCACCAGTGAAGAAGTCCCCTTCACCAGCTCACTGTCCTTCCATTGCAACCATCCCTTTTCTGTGCTTGAAGCAAAGGCCGCGGGGGCAAGAGCTTTGTCTTACAAGGGTACCAAAGAGGGGCAGGTCATATAAGTGAGATACCTTAGAGACGTACTTGTAAGAGCAACTTGGGCTGGATTATTTATTTGTTTAAATATGGCAGGTTTGAAAACAATCTGGTGAGATGGATTTACATTCTTTCTGCCTTTTCATACCCATAACCCTAAAGCTTCAGATTCCTCTGCCGCAGTATAGCATTTTTTTTTTAAACCTCTCATGTTCTGATTTACGTTATTTTTCATTCTTCCAGTCTTGCTTTGGTTGCAAAGTGCTTGAAAGGCTCTAACTGAAGCCCTTTCCAGGCATTTTTTCAATTCAGCTATGACACCATCTGATGAATATAAATGCTTCCAAAGAACTTCTTGGCTGAATCAAACCATCTAGTCCCACAACCTCTTTTGCAAACTGGCTAATTGGAAGCCTCTGGAGACCGACAGGCAGAACCTGAAGATGATGTTTTGCACCTGTTCTTTGTCTCCACCTCTGTTTTCCTAGGCCATCTCTTTGCTGTTTAGCATAATGGGTTGCTGATAGGAATGGATTTGCCTAAACCAGTTCAAAAGCCACTGGAGCTAATGGCCACAACTGTTACCTTGAAGTTATTACCACAGAATCTGTTACATATTGTGTTCTGTGAGAGATTTTCATTTTCTAACCAGCGCTTGTGATGCTGTGTTCTAATACTCTACAAAATATATTTTTGACTACATGGTCCTTGCTGGTCCACAATCTTGATTCTAAACACTTTGTGATATTTACTATCACAAAGTAAAGTTTGGCTTTACTTCTCATGCAAGAATCTGCTTGCATTTCTGGCTAAAATGCCCCATCAAGAAATTACCCAGGATAAAAGAGCAGCAAATAATCTTGAAACTGGCATAGAGTACTATGAGATGCATCAAAGTACTTGAGCTGGAAAATCCAAATGGCATTTCCTTCATGCTAAACACTGACCCAGCCCGACAGGAAGATTATCCATATAAGCCCTCCATGTTCTTACATAGCAATTTCAGGGAATGGTCAAAGCACCTGTGCCCAATATGTCTGCCTCCACTTTGACCTCTTTAAGTCCTTTTTCTCAGATGGTTTGCTCACCTTACAGGGTCATTTCTAATGATGTCACTTGAAATATTCTCATGGAACTAACCTCCAACTGTTTGAGGGTCATTAATGTCAGCGGCAAATCAGAGATGGGGTTCTGTTGCACAGGCAGATGCTTTATCTAAAGTTCCTAATAATCTCCTGTGGAAAATGTCCTTAAATTCTGAATGTCCCTAAAGTAGACATAGGATTGCTCAATCATGAATGAATGGGACACAGTTCTACCTGGAGGATATAATGTGGAGAGACGGGGGTTGTAACTAGGACACTACGATCTAATTCTAGAGACCCAGTTTACTAGGGATTGGTTAGTTAGGAGGAGTGTTAATTTATAACATTATTTCTCCCCTTCTCTCTCATCTCCATCTTCCATTTTCCCTGCCCTGGAGGTTGTGCGATGAAGATTAATTTGCTATTTCTGGGCTTGTGACATTTTTCGGAGCCTCCTGCTGGCTGCAGCCTCACTGTTGAGTCTGGACTGGCTCCAGCCAACAAGATTAGCATTTCAGGCCATGAAGTGAGGCCAGAAGGAAAATGGCATGTGCCAAGACAGAGCAGTAGACACGAGGACTGTGGAAGAATGTAGAGAGGGCAGAAATGAGAGGACCCAAGCCATTGGGTTCCCTTAAGATGGGAATGTTGGAAATACGCTTTTTGCTTGAAGCCTTAAGTGAATCTTGTCATGATGAAAGAAAACTAAATATAAGTAACTTCATTTCCTCTTCAGTCTCCCGAGTTTTCAGGCTGGTGCTGGAGCCCATCCTCGGGGAAATTCTTTCCCAACCCAGATTGTATCCTGCAACATTTTACTGGGACATGTATATCTGCTTTCATTTGTTAAAGGTGTCTGTCAAAAGCTCCCTTTTTAGAATTACTATGTCGGAGCAAACAAATTATGATGTTTTAAGCTCCCTTCTGATTTGACTCTGTGTATTTGTCTTATCTGAACCCTGAATTAAAATGTACGTATTTCTGGAGATTCACCAATCAGAAAGGATTTAAGTTACGAGATTTATATTGTGTAGAAATACACTGAGTATTATGATTTCTACCTAGGCATCAATACTAATCTTATTATATTAATTTTAGTCTTTTGAATTATACTTTAAAAAATCAATTTGGACAGAAAGCATATGTGTGTAAGCGCCTGTCCCTATGAAACTAAAGAAAATACAAGGATATTTTTCAAATTATCTGCATTCTGAATCTTGAACATTTGCTGTATAAATATTATTAAATATGTTTTTAAAGACTGATGTGACAGCCATATATAATCATCAGCTAATTCCTAGGCAGTCTCTCTGCTTTATAGCCATAATGCTCTTTATAAAAATCCTAGACAAATAAAAGAGAAAGCTGCTATTGTAAAATAATGTCTGTCCCTTTAAGCAACACGTTAAGGAATTAAAATACCTTCCTAATCCCTTGATACTTCTCTTGATACCCTGCCAGAGGGAGGGGGCCTTAGCTACTGAGCGTTGTTCTGCAAGTGAAAATCTGCTATTGACATTGTTCCAATCTATCACAATTCTCTGAGCTGAAAAGCCTCAGTAAATATCCCCCATATTTTCTGCTCTGGCAAGTGGAAACCAGCAGGATTTAGGATGTAACCAGGATGTACCACTCCTTTCTAGGCTGGATTATGATACATTTTTCTAATCCTTTCCACGGGGGTGGGGGGGCAGGGGGCGCTCAGGGTGGCATTGTGTGACCTCCTTCTCCATTTAACCTCACCCAGACCCTGTGAATTAGCTTAAATGTCAGCACAAACACTGGGCTACTTTCTAGAGAGGCCCATTGTCCCTGAGGAGCATTTGAGCGCCTATTGGAGTTGCTTTGGGGGGGGGGGGGAGAAATCCTAATTTGCTTCAGCCCCTGCTGATAGATGACATGCTTAAAAAGTATGGCACAGAATGTTGATCTTGGACTGCTGGTCGTATTTGACGAGTCGACTCTCCCGTTCTGAGTCCCCCCATCTAACTACAACAAGTAGCCTTCGACTTACAGCTACAACTGAGCCCAAAATTGCTGTTGCTAAGCAAGACATTTGTTAAGCGATTCCCCCCACCCCCATTTTACGACCTTTCTTTCCACAGTTAAGTGAATCACTGTAGTTGTTAACTTAGTAATAGGATGATTAAGTGAATCGGGTTTCCCCACTGACTTGGCTCCTCAAAAGGTTACAAAAAAGTGATCACGTGATCTCCAGGGCACTTCAATCATCATAAATATGAGTCAGTTGCCTAGCATTTTGATTATGTGACTGTTAGGATCCTGCAATGGTCGTAAGTGTGAAAAACAAGTCATAAGTCTCTTTTTTCAGTGCCATTGTAACTTTGGTCACTAAATGAACAGTTGTAAGTCGAGGACTACCTGTACAGTTATGCTGCAACGGTTCTTCCTGAATATTGGCCCCAATGCACATTCCCTGAATGAACTGTGCACAATTTGCAGCCTTAATTGTGTTGCTAAAGTTATTGGCAGGGGCAGGATTGTTTGAGTTTTTCAAGTGTTTACTCTGCTCATTCTGGGGCAGAATGAAATGCAACTTGAGAAAACAATTAAGAGGAATCACTGTTGCCAGTGAGGTATAATGAGAAGCATTATAAATGTCATTGGATAAGAACTCAGAGGATATTGATTTTTGTGTTGCTTATCGTCCTTTTTGCACTCCCAATGCTCTTAGCCAACAAGCACAAGCCTTGGATTGAAGCTGAGTATCAAGGCATTGTCATGGAGAATGACAACACTGTCCTACTGAACCCTCCACTCTTCGCTCTGGACAAGGACGCACCCTTGCACTATGCAGGTATGTCACTGGCAGGAGAGCTCATAGGTTTTTTATTAGTTACATTCAAGTGAACAGCCAGATCTTAATTGTGGCTTGTGAAATGACCTGTTTTATGCACTGCCCCAAAACCTAAACCCATAGTCTACAAACCTGAATGTATGGGTTCATGTAGCAAGTCGAAGCTAAACAAAAACGCTATGATGAAGCCTCTGTCAATTCAGACACAATAGTTGCATAAGGAAAGGTCAAATTCAATGTGATTAAATAATGAATTAGCTGGCACTTATTTTTTTTTCTTGCTAAAGAATAGACGTAAGGAAGCCTGATCCAGATTAACATCCCAGATTGGGAATTAGGCCACAGTCTTTGTGACCTGAAGTACACTGGGTCAACCATTTTAACCCCTTTTCACTATCACCTCCCCCTTCCCTTGTTAGGGTTTTTTGCACAAGGAGTTACATTTGAAGATATGGACCAAAGAGTTAATTTATTTTCCTTTAGACTAAGTTGCAGGTTTTTCACCCAGCTCAGGCATCCTTTTTTATTTGGCAGTTGTCCTGCCTCAAGTATTTTATGGCAAGACGAGTATTATCTTTTTGTATCACTACTATAACCTGTTTTTCTTACAAACCAAACCAAACACCTAATTAACCCAGTTATTTAAAGAAAGAATAGCCTCCATCTAGAAATGTATCCTTGGATAGCTCTTTCTGTAGGAAACAGATAGAGAGTAAATCCGTACAAATATAAGAAATCAATGATACATAGGGATGAGGATAATAATCCAGCATGAGATATCACTTTAAAGAGAGATTAAAGAAAAAGAGAGTTAAAAGAAAAAGAGAGATTAAAGAAAGATAGCTTCTAAGCCTTTGTGTTTATGGGAGCATTGCCCCTCAAGGTTTCAGCATCTCATGGTCTGTGGATGGCTTAAGTTCACCTGGTCCTCCAAAAATCATTGTCAGCAGCCTCTCGGCATTAATAAGGCATGTGTACTATCAGAGTACTTCCTATCATTTCCCCCCCTTGTAATAAAGATTGCACACTGGTCCTCCAAACCATGACAATTCTGCTGCTGTTCCTCTAAAACTTGTCAGCAGAGTTGTCTGCATTTCCTGCCAAAAATGACTAATTCTTTTCCTAGGAATTTCAAGAAAACTGCAGTTCAAGATAATTCGTGCAATATATAATCTAAATTTGCAGAGCAGAATCAATAAATATGATGGACTAAGATGGATTAGTGAAATTGCCTGGCAGCGAGGAATGAAAAAAATCTTTGAAGTTATTAGGCTTTCTCATATATAGAATTATCTGACAATAAGACTTGCCTTAGGAACTGTATATTGTGATGTTCCATGGAAAGATTTCATATAATATTGCAGGCCCAAAGCTACAGTTTTAATGTTGGAATGTTCCAATGTAAAATCTAAGTATAGTACTTTCCATAATATAAGCAGTCTTCAAATATTATAATTTAGTGGCGTTTCCTGGTGGATGCATAAAATTGTTCCTGCTCAAGTCAGGAGTTGGTAATAAGAGCGAAGTTTTTGACATATAGGAAATGTGGCGGCAGGGAATTCATTTCCCACTCCGGACTACAGCTGTGTTTGCATGTTTGTCAAAGAAGCTTGTTCTTGTATGTGAGTGCTATCTTTAAATCCTAAGCTCATTGTCCTTTAGAATGACATTCACCACATATGACACACACCATGGATGTTTGCAGAAGGTGTTCATGTGCAATTGTAGATATTCTGGTTTATACAAAGGCTTGTATTATCAGAGTTGTTGCTCGAGTGGAAACGAACACAGTACATTCAAACAAAAAGGCATTTCCCCCTGCAGACAGTTGTGTTGTATACCGAGATGATCTAAGGCAGAGCCGATTGGGAATGTTTGTAGCGAGTATATTCTCCTTTTCTGAATGCTTGAATAGCGCTTTCCAATTAACACTATTCGACAGGCTTTATAAATTGTGTTGGGAGACATGATGTGCCAGAGGCCCATTTATGTTGCAAATAGCTCCACATAAAAGAGAGTAGCACGGAGCATCTGCCTCATCACATGTTTTTCATTTCTTTTCTTTTACAAAGTGCGTAAAACAGGAAACCTTCAAACAGGTTCCAAGCATGCTTAGCATGGCTTACTTTAAAAAAAAGAAAAGGAATTAAAATGAAACAGTAAACCATAGTAGAGATTAATATCACATGGGCAGAAAAGTCAGAAATACCTTGAAAAAATAACTAAAAATGCCCCTATATTGCAATATGCATTTAATAGATGAAAAAAACCTGAGAGAATAAAATCATCATGAGACCAGAATAACAACAGGTGCTAGACTTAAATTACCAGAAAGAGCCAGCAGCAGCTATAGCTGAAATTCACCTGTCTGGAAATTGCCAGGGTTGGGAAATTCTGCCTTAGGATAAAGAATGGGAAAAAAACACATTCTTAGATACTGACACACCAGGGATCTGAAATCTTGCATGCATTTAGGCCAACTTCTCAAATTGGGACCAGAAATGAACCAAGAACCAATGAATTTCATTAAATTGCATTTGCGAAGGGTGAGGGGATCATTTATTCAGGCCCCACACACAGAGAGGACCACAATCAAATTTGGGTTGAGCATTTGAAATTATTATTTGTGTGTGTGTGTGTGTATGTATGTATGCATATAAAATCTCTCCATTCTTTAATTCTAGTTACAAGACGTTTCTCTAATTGGGTGTCCCACATATTTCCATTAATGGGCCATAAACGACAGTGACTAATGTTGATCTTGCAAGTGAAACATTTTGTTTTATAGGTTTATATATTAATAAAAATGCAGTTTTCCCAGAGCAGCTTACAAAAATTTCAATAATCGTCATATTTTAATAATCTTAGATTAAAAACAACAGATAATAAGCCACAGTTATTAAGCTTGCATATTGTGCTAAGTCTTAAACTGTGCCTAGATTCACATGTAACTTGTTAGTGGTTTAGCAGAGTGTGAGCTCAATAATTATAGATATAATTATTTCCAATGATTTGGAGGGGGCTTGGACCAGTCTTGCTTACCCTAGTAGCAAAGCATAAATGCTGTCAATATTCATTCGTGCTTTGTCTGGATAGGAGATTGCACAAATTCATTTAATATTGATAGATGTTGCCAGCTGCAAAGTTGGAAAAGACTTGTCCTAGAGTGATTTGCGAACTGAATCTAGGTCATTGTCTTCTCCTCCCATGGCTCCAGATACAGTAATTGAATAGGCTGTCTATTCTCAATCAGCAAGGAATCTATACTGATTAGCTTCAGATGGATGGGCTTCCCAGGAAACGGTACTGAATAATAACTACAGAAGGAGGTAATTCCCATGTCCCATTAAAGTTGCCTCTTGTTAATTCTATTTCTGTGTTATTAAAACCTGCCAATCTCAGAAGACACCCTTAGCTCCTTCCAACACATGCAGTCTATTGAATTGGTGAATGTTGGATAACAGTGAGAATCTTTAACCCGACATTTGGATATTGGAAACAAAAAGCAAATCAGCCAAAACCTAATTACTTGTGTGTCCAATCACACTTGGCCAATAAAGTATTCTATTCTATTCTGTTCTGTTCTATTCTATTCTATTCTATTCTATTCTATTCTAAAATTGTGTTTCTCCATTAAGTCAAGCTACAGTCTACTGAGAAGTTTCCTAGCACTTATGCTGCTGAAATAACATGGAAGTACTCAAAATGCTACCAGGTTTTAATGAGTCTTGGGCATAATAATATTTCAAAGGAATCCAAGTAGGTGTGGATTAAACTCCCAGCTTTTTCCTCTGCCAATTTTTATATTATCCAGCTTTTCTGTTCGAGGAAGTTGCCAGCTTATTTCATGCTAATGAAGACAGTAGAGGGGGGAAGGACAGGAGAGAATTAAAAGGTAATGTTTCCTTTTTTCTTAATATCTCTCTTCCCCCCCCCCCCCCTTTTTTTGTTTTCTTTTGGGGACCCAGGGGGGGTCTGTGGATTCCGGATCCATGGGGCAGGAGTGCCTTTTGAAGCAGTGATCCTTGACAAAGCCACAGGCGAGGGGTTGATCCGGGCAAAAGAGCCGGTGGATTGTGAAGCTCATAAAGAACATACTTTCACCATCCAGGCCTATGACTGCGGGGAAGGACCTGATGGTGCCAACACCAAGAAGTCCCACAAGTAAGACTTATTGGATTCAGTGCTACAGTGATTTCCCTCTGAACCTGCTAAGCCTCTTGGAATATACTGCTGTGGGAGAACTGGTCTACCTTCAGGAAGGAGTTAGAATTGCTTCTTGGCTTGCAGTGAGATGTTTAAAAGTCTCTTGCATTTAATTCTGTGTTTTCTTCCTGCTGCTCACGTTAGCC